CGAGCTCAAACAGGTTGATAATCTAAATGCCGATAACCTGTGTATATTGCAGGCAACTTATGGTTGCTGCACTATGGTACAGAGAGCTCTACAATTAGGACTTGGTTTCTTTCTCCAATTTTTTTTTCATTAAAGGCACACCATGACAATGTATATTCTTTTCAGTATGGTATCTGTAATCTTTGTTTCCATCTCACAGTACACACATCAATGTTAGGTTACGCTGAATGTTAAGTTCAGTCGGGTTTGTGAATTTATTTTATTTTTACTTCATATTAGCTTGTTCCGTCTGTCTGCATAGGATCTCTCTGTGTGGTTGGTTTAATCCTTACTTGAATCCTACTGCCACATGTGAGAGCTGAGTTTGGGGTTTGATGGGAAGGAGGATTAGAAGAGTACACCAGGATCCTTAACTCTCTTAAAATCAGTGGGAGAGGTTAAGTCAGCAGCTGACTTGCTTCACAATCTTGGTTTACTCTGTTTTGGTTTCAGCTGGTGATATAAGAATACTGAACTGAGATATTAGTGTCGGAGTGGTATGCCTCCTTTTTGTATGACCTGGGGTAACCTTTTAGTTTATTCGTTAGTGACCTGTAGTCGCAATGATTATACTAGCCCCTGTATTGCTAAATTTAGAAGTACCATCTGTTTTTGTTCTCGAATACTTAGGTTTGTTAATGTTGAAAATCTGCATTCTGTGTGTCTGCATGATGCCTTGTCATTTTTTCTTTCCCTTTCCAAATGAAGTCTTATAGATATTATGATATGGGATCAACATGCCAGTGACTCTCTTTCAGCACTCGGTTTTCATTGGAATGAAATTTTGCTATGTTATGTTATTACTCTACACTGCTGTACTGCTAAGACATGAGCTAGAAGCTTTCATTATCAAAGCTTACAATCATTAGAGTAGTTTGCAGAGTTGATTTGGTTTCAGGATGAACAATTGTTTATAGATAATTTTATGAAGTTTGTTTTGCTGCTTTGGATCATTGAGTTTTTTCATGAAATTTAGGCTTTTATTTTTTGGAATTAGCTATAATGCGGTTTAGAAAGTACTCACCTCTGCGATGGATACTTAGGTTGATGTGCTTTGTGCAAAGGGCTACCATGAGAGGAGATGTGAATCGTGGATCTTAACTAGATGGCTTTCTTGCTTCACTTTGTTGCAGGGTGTGGGGTGTCCTCTCCTCGATCCTTATTTGGCTGCATGCTATTTTGATTCAAGCTATATGATTGTGTTTTTTTTCATGTGGTTTGCAGGTATGCAGTTGAGGAGTTATGGGCTGAACTGTGTCATCTTATCTTGGTTGCAACGTATGAATTGGTGAGATTTCTAGCCTGCAAACAATATACATTTCTTAGCATTCTGTAATTGTGTGGAAATAGAAGTTTGATGCCTATTATGGAATCTCAGAGTAGAGGAAAAAAGAAAGTTTCAGAAACTGTTACTTGTTTTGCTTTTTCTGACCAAAGGGAGACTTTTTATTACTTATCCATTCTTTCTTCCTCATGTCTAATCCCCAATTCCTCTCTCCATCTTTCTAGATCTGCTTTCTCTCTCCTTCTCTCTTTTGTGCTAAACGACGAAGAATAAGCAAGGTGAAGAAGAAGAAGAAAAGGAAGATCGAGACTTGGGTGAAGCAGAACATGGAGGAGATGAAAAGTGGCCAAGTATTCACTCTTAAATTGTTAGGATTCTGCAATTGAAAGCATTAAGCTAAACTAAAATGGAATCGATTTTGGGATAGAGTTGCTTAAGACTAGAGCATTTGATGTGCGTGTCTCTCTTACCTGAAACTGTATTTGTCTAGCAGGTATTACCCATCGTTCGATAGACTTTATCAACCTATAAAACAGGAAAAACCTCACACTTGAAGCATTGTTGGTTGCTCCCCAACAATTAATACTTCCTTTTATTACATGCCTTTATTCATCATTTAATGTCCCGCTATGTAGCCTTTTTAATATAGCCTTAAGTAAAAAAGAACAGTTCAGTTTTCATTAGCCACATCCGATAACTGGTGATGGCCAACAAGGAGCAAAGAAATTATTCCATTTTCATTCTATTCTCCTCAAAGCTTGAATAGTGCACAACTTTAGCCGCTTTTGCTATGGAGTTCCTACTTAGAGTATTTCATGCTTAGATTCTTATTTTTCATTATCTTTCTGTCAGTATTAGTTCTTTGTTTTGCTACTTTTTTGTTAACCGCGTCTTCAAGCTTCAACTTTTTATCTTTTCTGTCAATGGCAAAATTTGCAACCTTAGATTTGTTCCTTTTATTTGCCAGTTTATCCTTTAGATGGTGTACTCGAATGAATTGTATGCTGCACTTTTGTTAATGATATACGGTAGGATATAAATAAACAAAACTAAATACTTGCACTAAGATGTATTTCAAATGGTAGAGCGGTGCATATGGGAGATACATTTCTGGTTTCCTGTAACTTTGAACTTTGTTACTGACATGTTCTACAATTCCCAGACCTCTATTATAATTTCTTTACATAGTCTAATTGATTGATTTTAAAATTATTTAATTATCCTAACATGAGGCATCGTTGACAACACCTGTGCAGAAACGAAGTCATCTATGGAATCAAGAGTGACACAGGAAGGAATGTTGAGGGCCTATACAGAACGAAGTTGGTGGATGCTTTTATTGCACTATAAGGGGTATTGGAATCAACGAGGTCGATGACAGTATTAGGACAAGGAAGCCTCTCTTTCTCTATTGGAATCGAAAAAGAAAAAAGAAAAAAAAAAGGACTCCGCTCATCCTCTCTGAATCGACAAACTCGGGTCGTTTCGTTTCGGTTAGGTTTTACATTATGTTTTTCTCACGTCAGATTTGGTGCTTTCTTGCTGCTCAATTCAGATCTTAACTCTCTCAATTGTTGCCTAAACCTTCCCTCTAGGTTACTTGAGGTTTGATTTTAAATATAGAGCAGCTCTCAATGATTGAATTTTTAAGATCCTAGAGGTATTTATTTGGCATATGAAAGGTTGAGTGAGGAAATGTTTGGTTTTGTTGGATCTTTAGTAGTTGGTCCAGTTTATCGTTTTCGACTCTTGAGGAATGATGTGCGCATGTGCGCTTTTATTTTGGTTTCGATTAGTTTTAATCTCTGCCTACCAATGTTTGTTTACATATCGCTTTTCATTTGGTTGTCGCTTTAATGGGAAGTGGCAGTGAAACGTGGTGGTGATGGTGCATATGTTGAATTTTAATCACCGTTTATAAATTGTAAGGTGTGTTTTTTATAACTTGGTCCTAGATCCAAACCGTGTTAGTTTTGTGAAACTGAATTTCTTTTTGATTAGTAAGATATTGCCTTGCATATAAAGACAGGTTTATGATTGTTACTGCTACTCATTCTGTAAGTTGAATTGCTATAGTTGTTTCAATCAGTTTTTTTGCGGCCAACTGTTGGCTCCATGGAACTTGCCATCTCCTATCCATTTATGTCTATGTATGGCATACATATGATGTTTAATCAGTCCATTTGACTGACGTTTAGTGGGAATTTATTGTTCTTGCAACATTTTGTGATGGATTTCTAACTAAAATTTGCAATTGCTTTCTAGGAAATTCAATTCGCACCAGCTGGAGTTCAATCTATTACGGATGGGTTCATCCATTTCACACTCTTAGATTTCTTGGTTTCTATATATTAGTGTATCCAATGTTGTTTGTAACGTGTAATAGGTGATTGTCAAGGGAGTTGTTGAGGATAGCTACATGCATGATCTTATTTGAATATCGATTGATAATATCAGGTAGTATGTTTTTCAATTCATTCTAACTCATAAATCTAGAGTTACTATCCACTAGCCAAAATTGTAGTCGGTCAAATAAGGTGTGTGCTTCAGGTGCCGCAATTCTGCCCAACCAGTGTATTATGATTTGCTTGATTAAGAGCCTCAAATGTTTCTTTATCATTTTCCATCCATTTCGCCGTCAGGTTTGCATGATATGCCTTTTTTTGCTATCATTGTTATGCGAAGCAACGCGAGCGGGTTTACCTAGAGAAGAGGTGACACCCTGTTCCACCTTCTCTAGGTCTACCTACGAAAAAAAACAATGATACCAAAACTTATTAGGGGTCAAAAAACTTCTACTGCATAAGTCTGGGAACAAATGTTAACAGGCAAGACTTTTGCCGTCACCTATCCACCATATTGCCTCAGCTCATGTGGGTACTTGCATAACATGTGATCCTGCTTTTCAACCCTTCTAGCTCCTTAATTAGCACTCCTTTTATATTGCAATTTTAAGGGGAAAATGTCAACATCTCCACCATTTTCAACAAGCATTTACATAACTTTCAGTTGCCCCACCATTACCAATTGGCACTCTTTTACATCACATTCAATGCAAAATAGCACAATATCTAAACTGTATTTCCCCAATTAATCAATCTGACAGCGACCAATATGTATTGCTGCTTTAGTACGGCAACACCCACTTTGCAATTCATAATAACATTATGTGCCTAATGTTTATTTCCAGTGCAAAGTTTACAGATGTACAAATCATCCTTTTTTTCATAGATCGCATGTTTTCTACTCAATCTACTCATGGGCACACAAATATGTCAGTTTCCAAAACAAACTCCATATTTTCCCAATACGATCTCCCCGCCGCGAAGCGCGGGTTTCCTTACTAGTATTCATAATAATAAATGAGGGAATTCAGGTTGGGAAAGGGACTAATAACGAATGTCTTTAAATTTTAGAGGGGATTTGGGAAATTCAAGGAGTTCGCCCCTGTTTGTTATATTTTTGGACAGGGATGAGAGGATGCAATCAAACTAGCTATGGGGAAATCATTTCTAACAAACTGCTTCTCTTTTGTGTAAAGTGTCACTATAAAAACGTGGCAGTAGACCATTTTTGTTTGTTGTAGTGAAGCTAGCTTTTTCCATTGTATCTTCCTCTCTGAAACTTGGCAATTAAGTACGGTCTATCTATCATCAGTTTCATAGTTGACAGAAAGATGGAGGGGCACAGCGAGCAATTGTCGGCGCCGCCAATCACTGGCAACGCTGAGATTGTGGAGATAATAGTGGACGACAACAGCATCCTCCATGCGCCACCGCCGTCCCCGCCGCGAGAAGTGCAAACTCCCGCTGTGACCAAGCGGCCGGCAGTGATGGGGGGTTGGAAGACTGTACACTTTATATTAGGTAATAAAAGAAACATGTACGTACTTAATTATTAACTAGTGTTAACTAAATAATGAAGTGATTAAGTTAATTAATGGTCCCCCTAAACTATAAAAATAACGACATTATTTCATTTCTGCATGCATGCATGATTTTGTTTTGTTTGCAGCAATTGAAGTGCTGGAGAGGATGGCAACTACTAGCATCCAAGCCAATGTGACGTTCTACTTGAAGCGGCAGTACCATCTTCCCAACACCACAGTAGCTATCATTGTCTTCATGTGGAACGCTCTGTCCCACTTCAACTCCATATTCGCCGGCGTCGCCGCCCGATTCTACGGCCCATTTTGGGTGATCGTCGTCAGCACTACCGTGTCCTTCTTGGTAGATAATTATGGCCAGTTTTCCTTCAATTTTTTTTTTATCTTCTTTGGTGTCTGCTTATTTAACTTCAACTAGGACGAACACAGAGACTGTGGTACCAGTACATTTGAGCCATTCGCATACATGAAAATTGATTGACGGCCCTTAATTTAAGTTCACCAATCGATTTTCCTAAATTTCTAGCTAACCCAACCAGTATAAAATATTTCATAACCAAACCAGCCGAAGTGTTTCCCCCTCCCTTTTTTCCTCGGTCAATTTGATTAACCCTCAAATTTGCTTTTTACTGAAATTGGAAAGGAAAGAAGAAGATTTTTGCCTCATATCATTATACTAATTAAATCGAGTCGGTAGTTTTACTCACATTAAAATTAGATAATTATAACGATATTTAATTATGATAATTATTATGGCCAATGTTTGAGGTAGTAATTGTATGCAAATTGCGAATCGAAGTTACTCCCTTTTTGTGACAAAATTAAATCTATTTTGGAAAGCCTCAAAATCTTTCTTTCCTTCTCGTTGCGATAGATAGAAAAAAAAAGAAAAAACACTGAAATATATTTCTGTTCATTATTGTTCAATAAACATGTTGGCAAGGCTGCAGAAACACCGCCACCTAGGTAGTTGGTAAACATGCATGCATTTTCCCATATGTATGTATATATTAGTCATTATAAATCTAAAAGGAAAACGTTTTACGTAATTAGAATAAATTCCTTGATTATATTCTAAACATATAAATAAGCCCTCAACTAACATTATTTTACATACAATTTTTCAGGGCTTTGCAGTGTTGGCGAGTACCCATTTGTTCGACAGTTTGCGACCACCAGCTGACTGCCAAGAAATGCGCAGCGGCCTCTGCAAGGAACCGAAACCGTGGCAGCTACTCCTTCTCTCAGCCTCATTCCTCCTCATATCAACTGGAACCGGCGGGATCAGGTGTTGCACTCAAGAATTTGCAGCTAAACAGCTAGACCACAACGACTCCTCGCCAATGTCGTCCTTTGAAACATACTACGCTTGGTGCCGACTCCCCTTTTCAGCCATTGTGGTTTTATTTGTGCTCCTCCTCTCTGTGGCGGCCTCGCTCAACTGGGACTTCCTTTTGCTGCCCGTCACAGCCGTCATGTTGCTTGCAATCCTGATTCTCTGGAGTCGGTCCAACCGCTACGTCAAGCCACCACCACGGCAAGCGGGCTCCATGATCTGCCGCGGGAAGCTCATCAACACTTCAATGTGGAAAGTGATGATCCCTACTTGGTCCACGGGGATCTTCCTCGCGGTTACCAACGCTCCTGGTCCGTTCCCCGCCCTCCAGGCCAACGAAATGCATCGGGGTTCGATTATTGGCTATCTGCAATGGCCCACGTCAGCCTACGCAATGTTTGCCATGGTCGTCAGCAGCTTGTGGGTTGAACTCTACCCACGCGCTCTCATTCCGATGCTCAAGAAGTTATTACCGGATCGTGCATCGAACGGGGTCCCATCCCGTTATCGGATTGGGATCGGACTAGGATTGTCATGTGCAGCCAATGTGGTTGGAGGAGTGGTGGAGAACCAAAGACGAAAGAAGAGCATAGCAATGCGGACCATGCCAGCGACGTGGTTGATCCCCCAGTTTTGCCTAGTAGGATTGGCAGAAGCCTTCAACCACCAGGGCCAACTCGACTTTTACAAGTATGAGTGTGAGCTGCCCTCGGGTGATGGTAGGACCCTTTTGGCGCTGGGACAAGCGCTTGGGAGCTTGATGGCCAGTGGCATTATCCCTGTGGTGAAGAAACTGAGTCTTGATGGGTCCACCAATGCTAGCTGGCTTAGCGATGTGTTGGACGTAGGCCACTACGACTATCACTACTGCGTTCTTGCCATCCTTGCCCTAGCTAACTTCGCGTCTTACTTGATAATTACTAATTGGGCCTGTGTGCGCAACAAGGTGGTGGGAGTAGTTGCGAAGAGAATAGAGGCCATCACCCTCAACAATGACAATGAGATCGAGCAATTGGATGACTGTGGAGTTGAAGCTGAAGTTGCCCCACCAGAACAGGAAGACGAGGCCGTTTATACAAATAATGAGGATTCGATTGCTCCTTCGGAGGGTGACACAGCAACCAAGATTGAAGATGAAAAGCAAGACATCTCTTTACCAGAGACCACTAATAATGTCACGGATGAGGTAAGAGATGAAGAGAGTTGTTGACTAGCTAGCTCATACGAAATGTACTCTTATTTAATTAAACAACTATAAAAAAAAAAAAAAATTAGACTGTAGTAGTGATCAACTCGATCTTTTGATTAATGGCGCGTGTTTGCAAATGGGCAACATACTAAATTCCTTGTCTTTCAACTTCTCCGAGTAGGTACTTGCACGTATTACAGCCCACAAGCTGATTTTCATATTTGCTACTTATAATTTGGAAGTTTGTACGAAAAAAGGAAGTCTTAAGAGCATTTGGAAACTTAATTCTCCCATATGCTACTTTGAGTCTAGACGCGTTATTGGCATTAATACTACAGCCTGTACACATATGACTGATAATAACGACGATCGAGCAAACTCACTGGGGAAAAAAAAAACAAGACTAAATAGATTCACGAGTATGCTTAATTAGACATGTCATGCAAACCCTAATATTCCAAGCAGAAGTTTTGCTTATTTCCACTGCTCAGACTCTTTCGTGGCTCTGCGGTACAATAAAGTTGTAATTCACTAGTTATTCCCGAAGCTCTCCAAATATGGCAAGTTGTGGCCTCCGTCACCTTCTTCTTATTCGACTCTTTGGCTTTTCTCCTTGTCGTACTAACTAACCGTGGTATTCGAATCTGTGGCTTTCCGTCGCCCATGCCTATGAGTAGCCGGCTCATTCTTCAAGATGCCCGCGTCACCTAAGCCGCTTTAGCATCTCGTTCTTTTATCAACGTTTCCACTAATTGTTAGAATTCGAACAATAACTTTGTCTAGTGGTAGTATTATCACTAGTTTTCGAGTTGGAGGTGTCAAGTTAAACAATACCCAGCAAGTGGTAGAATTCGAACAATAACTTTATCTAATGGTAGTATTATCACTACTATTGCACATTGGTTGAACCACTATTGGACTTCTAAAATACCGTTCGATTTCACAAATCCATAAAATATATCTCTACAGCAACATTACATGCTCCATGTGAGTGATTATTTAATTTGTTTCCCAAAAAGATTAAGAGTTCTGAACTTCTGATTTTAATTATTGTTAGTTTGGAGTTGCTTGAGTAGTAGAATTGCGTACTCAGTGGGGTTGTAGTAAGCTTCATTTTTTTTTTTAAGCAAGAAGCTTCATTCTTTTTTGGTTGAAGTACAAGCTTTATTCTTATACAAGGTTTTGACTTGAGGAAGGAAAAACTTCTCAACTATATTCATAACAAATGAGGGAATTCAGGTCGGGAAAAGGACTAATAACAACTGTCTTTGAAGTTTAGGGGGATTTGGGAAATTCAAGGAGTTCGCCCATGTTTGTTATATTTTTGGACAGGGATGAGAGGATGCAATTAAACTAGCTAGGGGGAAATCATTGCTTAACCAATCCAAAAAATATGGTACTATATATTTGAATCTATTGATAGACATCTAAGACGTACGGGTTCGTAACTCAAACTTATAGCAAGCTATGGTTAGGCCAACACTGCTGAAGTAAAGAAGATTAGTAAAGACTAAAGAGAAACAAACATAACCTGATTCCCGGACATTTGGGCGGCTTCACGACCCTTGTGCCACTTGGATTAATTGCTAATTGATCATTATGTGATCTATCACAAATCGGTCACAAACAGAAGTGAAATTATCATAAATCTATGCATTCATGAACTTTGATACATGTATGTATTTTATACATGTATGTATTTGGTGTAATCTTGTTGGCATGTAGGCGGTAATCGATAGCATAACAAAGAATTGTATTATTTGTTAATCTATAAGTTTTGGCTGGACAGCTAACAAAAATGTTTTTCTATAAACGGGTAAACATTAACAACATTGTCGACTAACGATTAAATGCTAACAGACCCGACTATCACCCCTAAATCTTGAGATTTGTACAACCAAACTAGCCCAACCCACATTGCCTGCTGTGCCCGGCCAATAATCGGGAGTAGATATGGTGACAACACCATATTTGTTGTTATTGTAACAACACTAGTCTCCAACCAATATGAAGCTAGGGTTGTGTCGACTTTTTATTAACTTAGTTGACCTAGTGTAAAATCAAAACAGGGGTATAATTGTCATTATGAAAAAATATGTTTAAATAAAAATAAAAAATTATTTTTTTATTTTCTGCCTAAAATTTTGGTCGCCGGAATTCTGTCACCGGTCGCCGGAAAATGGTCGCTGATCACCAGAATATGTTTTTGTCGCCGAAATATGCTATTTTTTGCCGAAATATGCTATTTTTCGCCGAAATATGCTTACCGGCGTCGGAATATGCTCACCGTGGTCGGCATATGCTTACCGGTGTCGGAATCTAGTCATCGGGGCCGGAATATGCCTATCGGCGCCGGAATCCGGTCACTGACGGTCATTGGAGTTTGGTCAACAGTTTTCGTTGACCGGTCAACGGCCACCGGATGTTATGGTCTGCATTGTGAGATTTATGGTTTGGTTTCTCATATTTTTGTATGCCTTTTGTGGTTTGCTTTATCGTGTTTGTGGTTTGCATTAAGAAGTTTCTGGTTTGCTTTATCGTGTTTGTCGTTTGCATTGAGAAGTTTCTGGTTTGCTTTCAAAAAATTTGTGTTTTGCATTGAGGGGTTTGTGGTTTGTTTTAGGAGATTTGTGGTATGCATTAGGAGGTTTCTGGTTTGTTTTTGTGGTTTGCTTTAACGTGTTTGTGGTTTGTATTATGAGGTTTCTGGTGTGTTTTTGAAAATTCTGTGGTTTGCTTTGTGAGGTTTCTGGTATGTTTTAGAGCATCTGCGGTCTGGTTTAGGAGGTTTCTGATATGCTTTTTGTGGTTTGTTTTATCGCATTTGTGGTTTGTATTAGGAGGTTTCTGGTGTGCTTATAAAATATTTGTGGTTTACTTTGTGGGATTTCTAGTATGCTTTAGGCGATTTGTGGTATGCATTAGATGGTTTATGGTGTGCATAATTAATATTTGTGGTTTGCTTTATGATGCTTCTAGAATGTTTCAGGGAATATGTGGGCTTCATTAAAAGGTTTCTCGTAGGTTTTTTTGTGACTTTTATGTTAATAATATTTTATCATAAAATAACAATAAATTAAGAAAATCATTAGTTTTTATTTTCACATATTATCACCTCCTTCTCTAAAATCTCTCCGACTCCCCCTCTCCCACCCTTCCTTCTTCATCAATAAACAAGAACAACAAAGCATAGCAGAAAAGCTAAAGAAAGAAAGTGAAATTAAAGGAACCATGAAATCCCCCACCCATCTTCTTGCGTTCGAATTTCTACTTCTTCCAATTTTATTTTTTTTGGTAAATAACTTCTTCCATTTTCTGATGGGTTGCCGGAGAAATATCAGAAGCCGCCAGCGAGAGGAGAGAGCAGATCTGAGAGCTGAAGGACAGCGGTGACAGAGGGGGCTTGACACAAAATCCTCTGCATGCGAGGTTGAAGGAGGAGAATTGATGGAGCCGACCGCGGTGGCATTATAAAGTCAATTATTCCATTGTAATTCATCAATGTATTAAATTTTTTATTTTTAGATGTAAATAGATTCTTACCACCAAAATACAGCTAGAGGAGGAGGAGGAAAGTGAGCATGCTAGGTTAGAGATGACAAAAAAGACCTAACGGTCGAGTATTATTCAAACCCAATTTATTATTGATAAAATCAAGTTTGAATCAATATATGATTATCTTTTGTAAAAAAATAGAATCAAGTTTGAATAATTTTACTTTTGTTGCATACTTATACCCAATTTTTTAGGTTGAGTCCAAATTGGACAAATAGTATTGAAAGTCCAAAAGAAAACAAATACCCAATTATAATGCAATTTTTGTCTTGAATTTTTTGCATTGTTATAAGAACCAATTTGTGTATACAAGCATCTAGACCCATTTGGATCTAACACAAATCTGAATTGACCCAAATAAGACCCAATTCGAACTCAACTCAAATCCAAAAACAATAATAGTACAAATGAGCTTATTCGAATTCGACCCAAATTACCATATCGACCTATTGCGGTGTCTAAATTAGACAACACACTCTAGTTGATTGCTTGCACAAAAGATATGAGAAATCTACATCTACAAAATATATTATGCACTTCACTCTATGTCATTGTTGTCACCTTGGACTTTGATTGGTTCTCCTTATTTGGTGGAAGAGCAATTTTGTCCATTTTTTCAATTCTTCAATCACCCAAAGGTCACTCATAATTATTGGACTTTCGATGTTCTTTTTTGTAAATGCAATTAGGATTAAGGGAAAAGCATATTTGTTTTAAGGTAATTGTTGTTATAATAATTATTTGGACTTTGCTTTGTGTAGATTTATTTTGTGTGGTTCACAATAAAACTTAGGTTAACTAAAGTTGTTTAGCTCTTGAATGAGATAATGATTGCAAATTGAATTTTGAGGTGGCGGATATTATACATTGTTCTGGTGTGGATGTTTGGGAAGAGGTTCCTTCTGGATAGGTTTTTTGCATTAGGTTTTTACGTTAACCAAGTATTAGCCCTCAAAAGCTTTAGAATCTTAATTTCACAGTGATTTTGGCAAACATGAAGAGGAAGAAAAATGCAAAATCTTGCCAAAATACAATCAATTTATATTGTTTTTAATCCTTTTAATTTTCAAATAAGCATGTCTTTTCCTTACATTAAAATTTGAAAAGGTACGACTGAATGCTTTGTCGTATGTTAAAAAATAATTTCAGTCACATGGTATCGAATTGATATTTGGGTCGAATAATTAGGTCAAACAAAAATAATTGATTTTTTTAACTATGTGTAATTGCTTAAAGTCGAAGAAAATTGACCGACCATAACCATATCAAATGTTCTGTTGACTTTCATCTCTAATTTTCACTAATTTTTAGTTTGGTTCTATTATGATTCATTGTGATTATGGATCATAACAAACCGGACAATACGAGATAATTTTTTATTAGAGAAGTATTAAACGTAAAATCTTGTCCAACGGAATAATTTATTTGCTTCTTCAACCTAATTACGCTATTATTTATGTCTATGCTATTTACATGAAGGAATAGTTCCATTAACAATTCCAAAATAGTTGTATAACAACAAACCATTAATCGTGAGTCATTGACATTTTTCGTCTAACAATCGCTCCGCTTTTGAAAACATAGGATATAGTTAATAGAAAATTTATTTACATCCAAAACATCTATAGTTATATTTTGTACAATAATTCATTTGTAATTCAATAGATGAAAATCTACAACGTCTAAATCAGAATAGAGAAATAGTGATATATTAATAAATTTTCAAAGCTTCATTTGCAAGTAGGGCTGGCTATTTGGTTTTACCCGAAACCGGACCGTATAAACCGGACTGAGACCAGACAGGGACCGGATAGTAAACAATCCAATCCAATCTTTGGGCTTAGATTTGAGGTAAAAAATCGTTCGAAACCGGATAAAAAACTGGATAAAGACCGGATAAGAGAGCTCAACAGCCAAAACTTAAGGGTAATTTGCATAAACGGTCACAAACCTTTGCACTTAGTAAATAACTTAACCAACTCCTCACCCTTTCAGGCCTTAGGCCACTCAAATCTCCACAAGCTCAATATAAAATCAAGAGCGAATTGGAACCGGACCAGATCAAGACCAGACTGTATGCAATCCAATCTTTGGTCCTTATATTAAAAAAAAAACCGGACTGGACCTGATCAATTTGAGCCAATTTAACCGGACCGGACCGTATAGCCACCGCTATTTGCAAGCTACTTATTCAACATATAACAAAAATATCTTTTTGTTAAAATTCGTTGCTTTTATTTAGTGATATTTAATATCTCAAGGCATTAATATAGATTTGAGATAGCTTTTCACTTCATTTGTTGTCAAATCTAAACTTCTTATGGTTAAGTATAAATTGAAATACCAATTCAATGAACAATATAAAGTTAATGAGAACTCAAAAGCATAAACTATCAAGGTACTTTTTCGGGTCACCATTGCACAATACTAAAAATCGAACCATCTACGTTTAACTAAAAGAATACGCAAATGACCACAAACCGGGCAACGGCCGGATAGAAAACTAGTTAATAAATATAAACTTATAACAACGGCAAACGGCATTTATAGTATGCGTAACAATTTAGCTAAGGGAGTTATGGGATCGGATGATCATTAATGACTAAAAAAAGAGCGTATATAAATAAGGGAAGACACAAATCAAGAAATAAAATAGAGAAGAAAAAAAAGCAAAGAACATTAGAACACACTACTCCTCATTTTAGGCGCGGAATGGATATTACAAGAGCCTTCATCATACTAACAGTTTTTACCGTTGTCTTAGTCCCTTCAACTTCAGGTTTTGGACCGAGTCATGTCTCTGTCCGCATCGTAAACGAAATGAGCAATCGAAAGGCGGATATGTTAGTGCATTGCCGATCCAAGGACAATGATCTCGGAGTTCATTATGTTCGATTCAACAACAAGTATGAGTGGGGGTTCAAACCAAATATATGGCTGAGGACACTCTATTGGTGCTATTTGGCACCATCTGGCGGTCGCTATCTTAACTTCGATGCTTATAACAGCAAAATTGGTGAACGAAACAGGGATTTCCCTATCTATTGGATAGCTAAAGAAGATGGAGTTTATCAGAGAATCCTTGACAACGACATGCGAACCCGAGACGTTTTTCAGCATCCATGGAAATCAGGGAGGTGATGATGATGATGAATGGATTTGATGTTACCACAAATTGAAAGATAATAATGATTTCAAACATTAAATAGGACAAGAGAACAAGTAAGTATTCATCCACGAGTTAAATGTATCCAAATAAGATCGATGATATGTTATGTATAAATGAACTTTTCAATCCAAGTCAATGTGACGTTCTACTTGAAGCGACAGTACCACCTCCCCATACATAACTGTTGACCGCCACGTTGGATAGATTTAGCGAAACTAAACAGCGAGTGACCAAAGATGACATAAACGAATAGTATCAGTCAGTGGCGGATCCAAAATTTCTATATAGGGGTGTCCTCTCCTAAAAATTAAGTTAAATTAATAATTAAATCATTATTAAATAAAAAATATATGGTTTGTCCAAAGTACAACAAAGCACATGACATGTTTCGTATTTTGGAAAATTGTAAAATACAATTGGTGCTAACAATAATCTACAAATATCTCTCGATATATCCTACTAGACAAGGGGAGCCTGCAATTGGATTTTATCGTTATCTTTTGAAAATAATTGGGATAAGAATTAGCTTTTTACTATTAGATTAGGATTTGAAATACAAGAACAAATGAGTTATAGTCTTATGAAAAATATGTTTACTAATAGTAGTAGCGATCCAAGTTCAAATCACATAGGTAACCACTTAAATATTTATATTTACCCATATACAAACTACTATTGAGGGATCATAATCGTTTTTTTCAAATTTTAGGAATGTCCCACTACCACTTAAATATTTTTTTACCTATATAAAAATTACTATCGGAAGTTGAATAATCGCATTCCCAAATTTTAGGGGTGTCCCGGGACACCCATAGAGCCCCATGAATCCGCAAGTGGTATCAGTGGCTAGATCGAAGAGAAAGTAATTTATGTGACTAACATGTTACAAATAGATAAATGAGTGACAAAACTTGCAATTCATCCCTAATTTAGTTTGTGCAAATCCAACATACTTTTGGGCTGGGCCCGAGAGAAAAGCCACATGACCATATAAAAAGAAAACTACAGTATAACCAATAAAATACAATAAGGCAAGACAAAAACCAAACAAAACAGAAAGCCCACTAGAGATGGCAAAAATATCAGTAACCGTGGATATCCGCCCGAATCCGTCCTAATCGGGTAGGGTAAAACCCGAACTCGAAGGACATTTAGTGGGTACGGGTAAAATTCGAACCCGAATATTGCGGGTAATGGGTGGGCATGGATTTCTCACTATCCGACTCGAACCCGCCCGATTATACACATGCATATGTATTTTGTCTAGAAATAATCATTATTTTTCTATAACATATTTTATATTTAGCATATAAATATAAAATTTTCATGAAATTGTGTTGTTTTAGGGGTCGTTTGGAAGTTGCGATAGTTTTGTTGAGATTGTCATTATGCATGTATTGTTTACAATGCATCATTTTTTTGTTTTTTTAGCAGAAACAATACATGGATTGTTTCTGTGATGTGACAGAAACTATCACTCATTTTGAGTGATTGTTATATCTCAACTTTTAGTTGTGATTGCTGAGATAGTTGAGTTGAGATTGTTTTGTCTCAGCTTTTAGCTGATGCGACATACACAATCACACATACCTAACGTTGTATTCTACAATGCATCAAATTCGACAATACATGTATAATATTATACATGTATTCTCAACAATACATCTATTTAACAATCGCAACTCCCAAACGACCCTTTAGTTAATTTTCTTCATTCTAGTGAATTGTTGTCGTACTTTTTCTCTTACTTAATATAAGAATACGTGTGAATGTTAACATATTGGTTGGAGTTATGAAGAGAAATTAATATCCATGGATAACCGTGGATACCCGAAACCCGAATGGGTATGGGCATGGTTTTGATTTTCTACCCGTTTCACATGTGGGTATGGGTGTGGGTAAAACCCGAAGTACTTTGGGTAGGGTAACGGATATGCACTATCCGCCCCCAACCCGACCCATTGCCATCCCTAAAGCCCACTTCCTTTTTGGCTCTGCCCTTTTTTCCTTTCTACTTTCGTTATTTTAGCTTTATGAATGAAAAGTTCGCCTTTTGCTTTCCCCTCCATTACGTTAGTTCCAATTGCATATCCACAGGTACAAATTTGCATATTCCAGAATCCCTTTCCCGCACCCGCGCGCCGCACAAATTGAAATAAACAAACACGGCCTTACGTTTATTTTTTTTAAATATCTTATCCTACGTTTATATATAATAAAAAAATAAAATTTATGAGCACGAATGAATGATTATCCCGCTTTTCCCAAAATTAGTTATTTACAAATGTGTGTCGTTTTACACCCATCTCTCTCGTGACTCGGCCTTTTCTCTTTGCTCTCTCCCCGTCGGTTTCCAGCTTCTGCCCCAACTCATTTCCTCGCGCCTCCCTCTCTGCGTATATTCGGAATCGGTAAGGGATTGCGGTTACTTTGCGGTTTACGAAACTGGGACTCTGAGAGTGGCAGTTCTTCAGCCGGAAAAGGTTGAGGGCCGAATGGTGGCCAAAGGCGGCGGAATGAGCGGCGCGGCGATGGAAGGAGGTGGCGCTGCTGGTGCCGACGGCGGTGGAGGAGGAGGAATGGAGACGAAGAAGATAAAGATTGGAGTCTGCGTGATGGAAAAGAAGGTGAAATGCGGATTCGAGGTTCTGTTTCCCTTTTCGTGCACTTATGAAATCTTTTCGTTTTCCCCTCTCCCAAGTATTTGATACAGAGGACGTAAAAACTGTGAAGCTCCAGTTTCAATCGTGTTCTCGGAACAGGGAAAACCAAGCGTCATTGATCGTTTTGCTAGCTTGTTTGTTTGGTTAGGGGCTGCAATTGAGGTAGTGGATTGCAGGTTTTCTTCTGACTCCTTCCTCCTTTTTCCATAGGTGTCTTCTGCTCCAATGAAACAGATTCTGGACAGGTTACAAGCGTTTGGCGAATTTGAGGTATGGATGATGTTCATTTCGTTTCGGTTTTTGCTTTTCCAATGGTGCTCTAGCCGTGCATTTGGCTTCTTTGTTGATTGTTATGAACTGAGCCAGAGAGTTAATTTGCAGTTTGTGTGTTGTTGATCGTTTACTGAATCAATTACTTTGTTCCTTACCCATGGGGATTCTTCTTTCCCTGTTTTGAGCTTTGTAGGTTATACATTTTGGAGATAAGGCTATTCTTGAAGATCCAATCGAGAGGTACCTTTCTGTTTCCAGATACGTTCTTGGCTTCCATAATTGTTAATTTGCTTAAGGTTGTTGTTCGACCAAGTATTGGATTCCTTTTGTGATCAGCATTTAATTGTCATTGACGCCACGTTACAGAGATGAGTTTTCAGTGGTTTACTCTCTTTTGGAAGAAATACACAATCCAATCAGTTGTCACAGTCCATATTCATAAATGGCAGGTGGAATGTCAAGACATTGTAACCGGTTCTTAATTGATTAGAAGCACCTAACTGCCATTTTGTGACCATGTAATTTTCCTTCCCATGCTAGCCTTCTTCACTCCTGTCTGGTTATCTCTGCTAATCTCCTCTTTGAAAGAGATGTGTGTCAGTAACATAGGTGTTTTGTCAGGGACATTTGTTTGCTGGAAGGATGTCATTAGTATGCTTTTTCTGATTACCTTTCTGCGAGTGCAACCTGTGGCCTGGTAAAAATACGTGGTAGATTACCGTATGTAATGAGGGTGACCTTCAAGTGTGAACAATTCGGGGCCTCGTAACGTGATCACTAATATATGTTGATCTATTTCAATATTTCAGGTGGCCTATATGTGACTGTTTAATTGCCTTCTACTCCAGTGGTTATCCCCTTGAAAAGGCAGAGGCATATGCTGCCTTAAGAAAGTAAGCTCATGATCCACTATCACCAACAATCAGCATATCTTTAAAAGTGTGAATTTGATTCCATACTTCAGCAATAAGCTGGCAGGTTATGTGAAATTCCATTTCAGTTGTGAATAATGAATTGGCAGTTTCTGGTTTTGGCCCTGCATTGCCAAACTGAGCAGTGCAGTTGGTTCCGAGAATTTTAGAATGATATCTGATTTTTACTTGGATACAGAAACTGATCTCTAGAAGTTCATGTGTAGCAAGTTTGGTGACTGACACCTAGTACTTGATGGTGTTATGGATTTAAGTAACTGTTGTGTCTGATCTTGTTCTGCTGTGAAAAGTAGTATGTGATGATTTCCGAAATGTTATGGATGATCAGGGAAGAACATTTTACTTTTTTCTGGATAAAGGATAATCTGGAATGAACCTTAGATTGGCCAGTTTTGCTTCTGCTGTACTTTTTTGTGAGTTCCCGCTGTGACTTTTCTACTCCTAAACATGACAAAACATTGCTGGTTCTGTTTCATGTTGTCTTCATTCTATCGATTTTTTCATGGAGAGTACTGACGTGTTTGACTGATCTTTATTACCAACTTGATGGCCCGTTACTTGTTCTCTCCGGGGAACTTGTTTTATCTGGTGAGTTTCTTGTTGGCAAGCACATGCTATGTCCAGTTGGTATTTAGAGTAGTGAACTGCCAATATGTAGTGCTGCCTAGCAACGTTACTTGTTTTTTACTTTGCTTATGTGGGTAGATTCAAATTTTCGGTAATGGGAGTTCCCTATGTCTAACATTTAGCTACACTAGGCACTGATGTTAACTATATATCCTCAGCATCCTTTGACAACTTACCTACTTGATTGAAGTGCTGCCTGAGAATCTAAAACATCTAAATCATTGGTTTAATTTGAGCCCTAAACTTTTGGTGTTGCTCATTCACTGGCCTTATTTGTGATGATTTTTAGGCTTTACACAGGAGTGGTTTCTGTACTTGCATTACATTAATAATTCTCGACCTTGTGGTCTTGATTCAGGCCTTTCGTAATAAATGAATTGGAGCCGCAACACTTACTTCATGACCGAAGGAAAGTATATGAGGTAATTTCTCACCATAACGTAGATTGATATCGATTTTCTGAGTTTCTTGGCAACATTAGAAATCAATGATCTTAAAGTACTGATCTTGGCCTGTTCATAGAATTCTTTGACTTCTCAGGGCTTATATCTTGTTTTAGGTACATCGGTATTCTGCTTTTTGGATGACATATATTCATTGACATACATCTTTCTTTCTTTCTTTCTTTCTTTCTTTCTTTCTTTTGTCATGTTTTTGGGGGACGGGTGCATCTCGATTTGTAATTGAAGCGTCTGGAAAGGTTTGGAATCCCTGTTCCCAGATATGCCTTTGTGAATAGAGGATTTCCATACCAAGAGCTTGAATACTTTGTTGAGGAAGAAGATTTTGTTGAGGTTCATGGTCAACGCTTCTGGAAGCCTTTTGTAGAAAAGCCAGTTCATGGTAGGCCTGTTTCGTTATGCAATCAATAAGTTATATAATGCTGTTACAACTTTCATAAATAATATGAAATTCTTCTTACGTTGGATCAAAAGACTAATTTTAGGGTTGTGTATCCTGCTAATATTTAGTGATGATGCAATTGAACGATCATAAAAACAAGCATGCCTGCTTGAAAGTATTTATTATTTTACCTTTGTTTTAGAATATAATTCTGTATTCTGTTAGTTTGGCTAGAAAAATCTATGGACGTCCTGCATTCCCTGCGAACTCAGCTTTCTTGTATATCAGCTGCATGTATACTTGGTGCTTCCGATTTCACATGTGATAACTTGAATTCATTCATCCAGGGGATGACCATAGTATCATGATATATTATCCCAGTTCTGCTGGTGGAGGCATGAAGGAACTTTTCAGGAAGGTATGCTTGTTTTTCTGCAACTCTTGTTGTATTACTTGAATAAATGCTGAAACCTGGATGTGGCATATCGCACCTGTGACTTTGATGTGGTAGCTCAAAATAGTTGAAATTTATTGATGTTCTTAGCCAGGGTGACTCCCTATATAACCGTAGCAATAAAAAGTAAAGTAGGACAGAAAGACAGTTTGTATGTGCTCTTCTTTCCTAAATTCCCTTCACACTAATAGATAAATAAGTTGCATTGTTCAAAGACAATGCTTTAGGTCTTCAAAGTTTGCAAATGCTGGTTATTGGTTTGCGATTTAGTTTCCCCAGCGTGAAGCAGGGGCTCATAAACTATTGCATCATTTGATTCGCACATAAACCACTCAAGTAACGTTATCTGGTTTACTTTCAGGTCGGAAACCGCTCCAGTGAGTTCCACCCAGACGTAAGAAGAGTAAGGCGTGAAGGATCATACATATACGAAGAGTTTATGCCAACTGGTGGAACAGATGTCAAGGTTGTTTCCCATTTCCTTCTCCTGCAGTGTAGTGCTTATTGTATCTGTTTGAGTTTGGTATAGTTCGTCCTTCACCCCCATGTTCATCAAAACAAAGTGCAGATGATATATGATGCCTTTCTTCTCTCTCTCTTAACTTCATTAACTCTAATACTTCGGGCAAGTTTTTATTGTTCCAGAAGGCCGTATTTGTTTCCAGTTCAATGTTAATTGCTTAAGGTCTAGATCCAGGGACGATCCTAATCATTCATTTATTTTGGTTAGTTCCATTAAACATTATTTATGCATTGTTTTGCACAGTCATGGTTTATTTGCGGAGTTAGTCCTGTGTCTGCGTCTAGGTGTTCATGTTCTGTTACCAAACTGCTTTCCTTTGAAGTCAATACAAAAAATTGAGTTCTTATTGCTTGTTTCGGTGTTTCCTGCTATACTTCTGTGTGTATGAACTTTTGATAATTTGCCAGGTATATACTGTTGGTCCTGAGTATGCACATGCTGAAGCGAGGAAGTCTCCAGTAGTTGATGGTGTTGTAATGAGAAATCATGATGGCAAGGAGGTAACCACTTTGTGATCTATACTTGTACCCACATGTTTATTTTGGTCTTTCCTTAACTTTTACTTGAAGTTACTTCAACGTGACTCATCCATAGAAAGTCAACATGTTAATCGCATTCTTAACTCTATCCAGTTCTCTTTATGGATGTGTAGTGACATGGAGTCTTTTTTTTCCTCCACAAAAGACATGGAGTCTTACTACTTTGCTTTTCTGGGTTTACCCTTAGGTTTGAGGATCTTTTGTTCTGTATTTTCTTACAGGTGAGATATCCGGTATTGTTGACACCTAACGAGAAGCAAATGTCACGAGAAGTTTGCCTTGCATTTAGGCAAGGGGTAAGTTTCTCATCTCGAGGCATCTTGTGCTAGCTTGCTTTTGTCTCTACACACTTGCCATCTCTTCCAGTTTCGGTGCCTGTTTGAAATGCAACTGCACTAGTTTATCTGCTTATGCTATTGGGCTACTTTAATGAGTCATAAAAGGCTTGTATGCAGTTACTGTTTCTATTTCCTTTTGATCATTGAGATAAATTGATAATTGCTTTGAAGCAAGCACGCCTTTTCATGAGAATTCTTTAGAATCTTACTCTTGAATTGGGAACTCCAGTTTTTTAAAGAAGCAAATAAAATAGTAGGAAAGTATGGTGTTTTCAGAATATCACTTTTGATCTTTATTCAAGCTCTTTAGTGCTCACTGTTTTCCTGGTTGGAAATCATTGTTTCTATTTTTATCCATAAACTGGCCTTTGGCTAACGTTATCATATTGAGATAATTGTGTTACAAGTTACTATATTTGATGGGATGATCTGTAATTTTGTACTTGTGACTGATACCTACTATTTGTAATGTTTTCCTGGCAGGTATGTGGATTTGATCTTCTGCGTTGTGAAGGACGTTCATATGTTTGTGATGTGAATGGGTGGAGTTTTGTGAAAAATTCTTACAAGTAATGCTTAACATTTCCCCCCTTCCTTTCCTCTCGTTTTATGTGCGTCTTAACTGAAGGACCGAACAGAAATGCAAATCCTCCTTGGCGCCTTTCATATTGGGTGCCATAAGACAATGAATTTGGTTGACTCTTTTATCATAGTCCAGCTGGGGGGTGTTGCTCCTATAGCCTACATTGCTTTCATATGGGTACCACTTACTGTTATTTCGCATCAGAATAAGTGTGTACCTTAATCTGGTGCATTCTAACCCAGTTTAACTCTGACCCCTCCCCGTGGCAGAATTGTATTTACATTGCTTTCCTTACTCAACCGTTTCTGGTTCGCAAATTAAATGAACAATATCTTTCAGTATTGTTCAAGGTTCACTTTATTGTCTCCTTGCTTTATCCATTTTCCTTAATATTGCACCCACGGCGTCCTTGTGTGCTAGTAAATAACCAAAGTCAGAGATTAGCTGGTTGGAGCCCAGAGTTATGAGCATTTCCAGATCTTAACTGGAAAAGGAAAGAAGAATGCTTTCTACTTCACTGATACTTTATCTTGAAAATACAGATACTATGATGATGCCGCATGTGTCTTGAGGAAGATGTTCCTAGATGCTAAAGCCCCTCACTTATCAACTACAATTCCACCTACATTACCATGGAAAGTCAATGAACCAGCTCAACCTACTGAAGGACTAACTCGGCAAGGAAGTGGAATTATTGGCTCATTTGGGCAGTCTGAGGAGCTTCGCTGCGTCATTGCCATTGTCCGGCAGTATGTTGCAATATCATTAAGGTTTTATTGCTTCATTAAGCGATTTTTCTATTTCTCATGTCCCATTGATATTGCATTTCATCAGTGGTGATAGAACTCCGAAGCAGAAGGTGAAGTTGAAGGTCACTGAGGAAAAGCTATTGAACTTGATGTTAAAGTACAATGGAGGGAGAGCCAGGGTTGAGGTGATATCATTCAGTATTACTTTCTTGTTTTGTTTCTTGTCCTCTATTTTCATTGGTTACTAATCTTTTGTCTTTTATGTGCTTTTTCATGGTTATTTGTTGAAATTTCATTTTCTTGTTTGAAGACGAAATTGAAAAGTGCTATTCAGTTGCAAGACTTGTTGGATGCCACACGAATGCTTGTTCCTCGTAGTAGGTACTTTTCGTCCATTGCAGTAATTTCATTATTATATCATTGCCATTGTTTGTGCATTTTGTATTCAATTAATTACTGTCAAACAGTTCTGATTTGCGGGTGATTTTTCATTTTTATCTAGACAAGACCGAGAAAGTGACAGTGAGGCAGAAGACGTTGAGCATGCTGAAAAACTACGTCAAGTTAAAGCCGTGCTTGAGGAGGTGACCTTCTTTATCTCTTTTTGGATAAACACCTTCTCTATCTTAAGTGAGTGATATCCTCACTAATTGAAATAACTCTATCCCGACACTCTAGTCTAATGTTTGTACCTTCACATTTCCCTATATTTGCATCCTTTTGTCACTTAGAACTCAAGTTTATGGTGGATACTTAGTCATCTTGTGAAGTATCAATCTTAGGAAGGCTGTCATAAGAAGTTTAATCCTAGCACTAGCAGAGATTCATGCCCTGTCTTACAACTTCCCCAACTGAATACCAATGATGTTGGAATGATTTTTTGAGTAAAATTTTAACAAGGGAAGCATTACTCTTCAGTCAATTATATCAAAACCTTCTTACTGCATTTTCTTTCTTTCTTTTCTCTTTTGTTATTCCTGATTTTTACTGCAATAAGGTAATTACTTTGTTTCACTTTGCAAATGTTTCTTTATGCAGGGAGGTCATTTCTCCGGGATTTACAGGAAAGTCCAACTGAAGCCTTTAAAATGGATCAAAGTTCCAAAAAGTAATGGTGAAGGAGAGGAGGAACGGCCTGTTGAGGCTTTGATGGTTCTCAAGTATGGGGGTGTGCTTACCCATGCTGGCAGAAAGCAGGTAATGCTTATTTTATGCTTAAGATTGTCTGTCTGATGCACTTCGTAGCTTCCGTTGTAAGCACTGCAGTACTTAGAAGTTAAGTGTAGGTAGATTGATAATGTCCACGCCCTAGATGCAAACCTTGGGCTCAACAATCACCCATCTAAAAAAAGTGCAGGAAGTCGGCTATGCCTTCTTTGTTGAACAGCTTATTTGCTTCTCCCTCCACCCCCTTCATCTTTCTCGTCTACAAATCTTTTTTCTCTTCTAATTTCTGTTCACAATTTCCTTTTTTTCTTCTAATTTCTGTTCACAATTTCCTTTTGGCAGGCAGAAGAATTGGGTAGATATTTCAGAAACAATATGTATCCAGGTGAAGACAAAAGCCATTATCTTTTTATTAATACATTATTAAGTGCTCTATTTGTGAGATCTATTCATCTTTCTCGGTTTCTTTTTCCCCCTTTTCTCTTCAATTTTATGACAGATTAATATATCCTAATTAATTGGTCAATCTGGCTTCCCTATCCTTGTGAGGGATACTGTAGGTTGACCTGTGTGTTTGGTTCTGGGCTGTGAATTCCGTGGTTTTTGTTTTTGGCTTGCAAGAGCCCTTGATGTTCATCATATATCATATCTGTTTAATTTCTCCATTATCACCGTATAGAATGTTGCTGTGATACATTTGGCTTTGTTGGATGGAAAATGGTGGGGTTTAAATGACTGTTCTTATTTCTCATGAGAAAATGAGTGAAACTGCAGGGGAAGGTACAGGCCTCCTCCGCCTTCACAGTACATATCGTCATGATCTTAAAATTTACAGCTCAGATGAAGGCCGTGTACAGGTATGTCTTGATGCTAAATGAAAGGGTTCCATCAAAATTGCTCTATGGTTGTTTTGGTGTCATCTTGCTTGCTATTTGTTAGTCTATTGACTTTCGTGTATCCTTCCACCAATTATTCATTTTGCTGGTAGATGTCTGCTGCCGCGTTTGCAAAAGGGCTTCTTGATTTGGAAGGCCAGTTAACTCCAATCCTGGTCAGCAACTTACTTCAGATTCAGAATCTTTAACAGAGGTGATAACTTGGTAGATTTTCTGATTTTATCTAATAAAGAAATTATCTCTAGGTTTCCCTTGTTAGCAAGGATTCCTCCATGTTGGATGGACTTGATGATGCTAGCATCGAGATGGAAGAAGCGAAGGTAAATTTGTGGCTTGAAATAAATTATGGCTGTTCTTTTTGTGCACTCTTCTTGTTGGCATCTGGTAGTGTCTGTAGTAAATAAACAATGTGATCCGCATGTATACAAGGGATCCCCTTGGTTGAAGTGATTCTTTGATGCGCACTTGCTTAAGGAGGCTGGGAAGATAGGAATATTTGATTTATTTCGTCAACTTTGCAGGCTAGGCTGAATGAAATAATAACTTCAGGTGCTATGCCGGCTACTAGCAATAGCTCATCTGAATGCCCGTGGATGACAGACGGGGCTGGACTTCCTTCAAATGCATCTGAAGTTCTCCCAAAGATGGTAACTAATATATATCGAGAATACTAGTCTATTTGCACATGGGTATCTGCATATATTGTCATGACCTTTTCTATGTAAAAAATTGATATTTCTTGTTTGCCTTCTCAAATCCCTAGTAAAGGTACAAAATACTCGATTAACTGAACCAAATTTTTGTTTTTTTTATAATAATAGAAAAGGAATCAATTGGATGGATTCAAAATTTTAGGAGTTTCAGATCTCTCACCACGATGGCGGATAATGTTCGAAGTTCATACGTTCTCTGTTTTGTCTTTCTAGTGTTTGAGCCTTATTGGTCTCAAATGTAGGATAAGTTTGCAAAGCATCTCACGGTATTTTCCTCTTGCTTTCTTTCTTGGAAGGCAAAGTTGACTAAGAAGGTGACTGAGCAAGTAAGGTTATTAGCCAAAGATGAAGATGAAGATCTTACTGAGGCAAGTGCCTATCATGTAGTTCTCCCATATGACCAAGCGAAGGCCCTTGGTAAAACGAACATTGATGTTGATCGAATTGCTGCTGGGTTACCCTGCGGCAGTGAAGGATTCTTGTTGATGTATGCTCGCTGGAGGAAACTTGAAAAGGACTTGTATAACGAACGTAAAGAGTAAGTTCTCTAATATTTGACTTGAATCCTTTGTTACTTCTATGTTCGGTGTAGGAGTAAGTGCTGCATTATGTGGATATGATCATAGGTTTCTTTTTCCTCGTTGAATTTATGATCACAGGTTTCATTCACTTCATTGAAATATATAATGGCAGACGAATCTTATTGCTCTGTGTGATAAATGTAACATAAGAGGGAGATCACATGGAATGAATTCCTGCATGACGATGCTGTTTTGACATAAACATGGTAGTTAATCGTTCGCTTAAACTCATTTGTTTGCAGGCGTTTCGATATTACTCAAATTCCTGATGTTTATGACTCGTGCAAGTAAGTTACCTATTTTCCAATTTATGGGTATCACTTGTCATATTAGCCCATGTATGCAAATTTGAAGCTTACTTTATCTGGAACAATCCCCTGGCTTAGTTATGCAGCCTAAAATCACATCCTTAGTTTCTTCTGTAAATTGGCAATATTCACTTGCTACACTGTTTCCTAACATTTTGCAACTCTTTTAGTAATGAAGTTAAGCACTGGAATTGTGCGTGGCCAGGGATTATCCTTCTCTATGTTATCATTATTTTCCTGTTCTAGGAAAACTAAAAATTGAAAGTGATTAACCTTTCAACAAGATGTAGAAGAGCTGCAGTTCATGTTGAAATTTCATGCTTGCAATTGCATCTGTGCCGTTATCGTTTCCTCCACTCAACCTGTACCTACTTTGCAGATATGATCTCTTGCACAATGCTCATCTTAATCTAGAAGGACTCGACGAACTCTTCAAAGTTGCTCAGGTAATTCGTGGAATCTGATCCTACTTATTCATTTTGTGAAGGGATGTCGGTTTGAGCCTTTCACTATCTATCTTTGAAATTATGTGTAACTGCTTTATATGCTGTTTCAGTTGCTTGCAGATGGTGTGATCCCAAATGAGTATGGGATCAATCCAAAGCAGAAACTGAAGATTGGTTCCAAGGTGAGAGGTCCTTTCTCATAGCACCCTAGAGAACACTTTTGTCCCTTATTAGATGTCTCCACAGCGTGCTGTTAGCTATATTATATACTTGAGCACCTATTAGATGTCACCCGGTTACTATTTTGCTTCCCTTTCCCTGATTTATTGTATCTGAAACTCCATTTTGACAAAATTTTGCACGTGCCTATATCTATGTTTGTCGAAATTTAGATTGCACGTCGGTTACTGGGTAAGATCCTGATTGACGTGAGGAATACACGGGAGGAAGCCATCAGTGTGGCTGAATTAAAGAGTGCTCAAGAGCAGGAGTCGTCAAGTTCTAGCAAGACTGAGAAGGAGAATTCTGATAATCAACCAAAGCTTTATATCAAAAGTGAGGACACAAGACGAACTAGCACTGCCAGTGAAATTTCAATGGAGCAGGAAGATGACGATGACAAGGAGACACAATACCGATTGGATCCGAAGTAAGTTGTAGCTATTGATCTGAGACTTAACTTACCCCACGGGTTCCTCGTTTTCCTTTATCATCTAATTTCTCCGTAACACATTCATAATTTTTTGCTATCAGGTACGCTAATGTGAAAACACCGGATCGCCATCTTCGGACGCGCCTGTACTTCACTTCAGTAAGTAACATGACTCTCTCCCACTTAAACCTACTTATTCAGTTTATAACGTCCCCTTATTATTCGTATGACCGTTTCCAAACTATTGATTGCCTTCTTATGCATGTATGTTTCAGGAGTCACACATTCATTCGCTTATGAATGTTCTCCGGTACTGTAACCTTGATGATTCTCTTCAAGACGAAGATAGTCTGGTCTGCGACAGTGCCTTGGAGAGATTGCACAATACCAAGGAGCTTGACTACATGAGCTATATCGTGTTGAGGATGTTTGAGAACACTGAGGTAAAACAGCTAACGCTATTTTGTGCTCTCTTTGAGCCTTCTGGCCAAAGAAATCAACCTCTTTATACTATACGTTCACTTCCGAAGTCTGAACTCCCTTTGGTAAAGGTACTATTCGTGCTTATCCACGCGCTGTTTATACTTTAAACAACAGGTTGCCTTGGAAGACCCGAAAAGGTTCCGAATAGAAATGACATTCAGCCGTGGTGCAGATTTGTCCCCATTGGAGGTAATATGGCCTCTTCACTTCACTGGTAACTAATAGCTTTCAATGAAGTGGATAAAGCGTTAACGAGGTCGGTCGATTATCACTTTCAACTAACATCGGTTATTTTACGATCAGGGAAACGACGTGGAGGCAACATCTTTACATCGAGAGCACACACTGCCGATAATGGGTCCAGAACGGCTACAAGAGGTGGGATCATACCTTACCTTAGAGAAGATGGAGAAGATGATTCGGCCGTTTGCAATGCCCCCAGAAGATTTCCCTCCGCCGGCCATTCCAGCAGGTTTCACAGGCTACTTCTCCAAAAGTGCCGCCGTGCTGGAGCGCCTCGTTAATCTCTGGCGGTTCAACAAGCAAGAAAAGCACAACGCTGGTACCAACGGCAAGTAACTATTGAGTTTGTTTACTGTTGTTACTTCTTCTTATGTGGTTCTCTTTTCGAATTTTGTCAATGAAAGACATATTCCCTTCTCCAAGACTATAAATAAATCAAGTTTCAGCTTTCAACCGGGTAGAAAAGGTATGAAAAAACCCCATACCTCACTTTGTATTCCGCCAATAAAGAAATTTACCTTTGTAAGATAAATATCAATAGGTAGGAAGACAGTAAAATATACAATTACAGAGTCAGTAGCCCTCAGTAACTTAGTCTATGAAGAAAATCTATTCAACAAATCCACAACCTCAGCCATGGTTGGCCTATCTGCATTTGTTTCATTGCAACATTTGCAAGCAATGCTGAAATACTCCTTCACTTTCTCTTCACTCAGCAACCCTTTCTCTTTCTCGGGCATGCTCCCGTCCAACATCTCCTCGTAACGATTGTGGGCCATCATCCTCCGAGCCCACTCAATCAAGCCCATCTCCTTGCGGTCGAACACCATCGGCAAGTTGGGCCTCTCCCCCGTGGCAATCTCAAACATGAGTATCCCGAAACTGTAGACATCTGCCTTCACCGTCGCCGCCATCACTCCGTCCTTGTACTCCGGCGGCATGTACCCCATCGTTCCGGCGACCTGCGTGGACACGTGGGAATGCGACGCGTCCACCGTCCGCGCGAGCCCGAAATCGGCGATATGGGCCTCGAAGTCCGAGTCCAGCAGCACATTGCTGGCCTTGATGTCCCTATGGATAATGGCGGTGTCGAGCCCATGTAAATACATAAGCCCATTCGCCACGCCGCGAACGACCTTGTTCCTCGTCTCCCAAGATAACGGCATCAGCTTGACCGACACCACGGAGTCGTCGGACCGTTCCTTGCTGACGGGGGAGTACGTGTCGTGCAGCCATTGGTCCAGGCTGCCCCGCTCCAGGAACTCGTAAATCAGGACCCGATCCGACCCGGAGGCGCAGTAGCCGAGCATCTTGACGATGTTCCGGTGGCGGAGCTTCCCGAGAGTCTCCATCTCCGCCCGGAACTCGCGAAACCCTTGGAAGGCGTCCGGATCGAGCTTCTTGATCGCGACGGTGACTCCGTCGGAGAGGCTGGCTTTGTACACATAGCCGAAGCTGCCGTCGCCGATGATGAGATCGGAGGAGAAGTTCTTGGTGGCGAGCTTCAGCTCCTCCATGGAGACCCGGTTCAGACTCGGGTCGAAGGAGGCGCTCTCGTCGATTGTGACGGAGGAGAGTTCGCCGCCGCGGCCGGCCGTGGCCGGCGGTACGGAACGGATGGCTCGGGTTTGCGGGATGTGGTGGTGGTGGGTGCGACGGCGGCGTTTCAGGGATTTGCAGAGGAAGTAAAAGAATCCGAAGATTAGGGTTATCAAGAAGAAACTGACGACGGCGGCGACGATTGAGAGGAAGATGGAGTTCATTGTGGTGGTGGCGGGGAGAGAGAAAAGTGAGGGGGAGGAAGAATTGATGGAAGGTGGTGGAGACGGGGATTGGTAATTGGGGCCGCAACGCCATTATTGGAGGGGAAAGGGAAAGGAAGTAGGGGGAGGAATTTTCAAGGAAGAAGATGAAGTCGTTGATGAAGTCATGAAGCTGGCGGCGAGTCAACGGTTGCGAGAGGGTTGACTGGGAAAAGGGCGGGATCTTCTAGGAGTGAAGAGCACGGTGGGGTTGATAAATCTTGCCAATCTGGGGACTCCGATGCTTGACACTTGGAATGTGTACATGCTGGACAATCTTAGCCGTCCAGAAGTTGCATTCAGACACTTGGAGACTATACAGGGGAAGATTCTTGCTAAGGTGATTTTCATTTTCTAATAGAGAGATGGCAAAGAAGTGGAAGGTTGTTCGTCGGGCAAGCCAAAGAGGTGTCTTTTCAACCAGCGACTGTAGATGATGTTATTTAATTAGGTAAGCTATTATTGGTCCCTAACTTTTGACATTCAACCCAATTTGGATTTAGCATGGGAAAAACAATTAGTTATGTGGTTAGTCAATCATATTACACCGATCAAACAAGGGCACTGATAATCTCGTTTGACTGGATTACAAAGTTTTTTCTGTTTAAAATAAAAATCCTAATGCGAACATTCAAAGTTACTACGAAATAAGAGAACTTAAGACATGTAAAGTATATTACAATGAGAAATTGGTAAATAAATCCTTTGATTTTTGAAGGACAAGGGAACCTATGGACTAATCACTCATGTAATAGCAGGAGACATGTTCCCTTGTCCAATGACATCAACACCTACAACTCTCCCAAGCCATGTTGTAGGGGCTCAGCAAACTGCTTTAGCTGCCAGTTCACCGATGGTTGTTCCGGCAATGTAGCCACCGGACCATGCATTCTGCAAAAAAAAAAACGATAATCAAGGAGATGATGGATTATCAGAACCTAGGTGGAGAACATGAAAAAAGTCGAGGGGAGGAAACGAGGATTCTATCTTAGCCTACAAGGCAGTTAGCTTGCAACTTTGTGTCATGGATTACTCACCTGAAAGTTAAAACCACCAGTCACCCCGTCGACATTCAATACCTGCAGAAGGCAAGTGAGGAACCCCATCAATCTGACTTATTCATTAGCGGAAGACAGAACGCTTTGCTGCTAAAGTGCAAACATACCTCTCCAGCAAAGAAGAGATTTGGGCGTATCTTGCTTTCCATTGTCTTCAAAGAAATCTTCAAGTAGAAAATACAGAGAGTTAAGGCATATTTCACAAACCAAGAAGAGGCTAATGTAGAGAGTTAGTATTGAGGCAAGGATGAGGTGAGGACCTCGGATAAGGGAACACCTCCAGCAGTGACAAATTCGTCCTTGTACTGACCCTGTATGGAGGAGAAAATGTATTGGCTTTTGATAACATTGCATGGATATGAACTATGAGAAAATGGAGCTACAAGGGTTTATGTGTGGTATCTGACCTTTCCTACTACTTCAAATGTGCAATGCTTCAACAGATATGCTACAGAATTTAAGGAATTATTTGATACGGATGCCCACAAGGTATCACAATTCAGACCCTGTATAAAAGTAAGATTATTCTTCATAAATACTTGGATGATGAAAGAACAAACATTCACATTCAAGAATTTCTTTGGATCGACGAAATAACCTCACGATCGAGCATATATTTCCAAAATCTCTTCACAATCCCGAATTCTGATGGGCAGGAATTAAGCACTTTTTGTTTCTGCAAACCCAGTAAACTGATATAAATAAATAAGCTTTCCTCTCAGTAAACTGATTTTAGGTACAGTACCAGACGAGTACGGAAGTTCTCAGTATGTATTATGTAAGGCCAGCAGATAGTAACAAAGTGGACGATCATATTTTACCGCAAATTTCTGCTTTTGTTGACTAAGGATAGACTTCATATCCTCAATGTGCAGATCAGGTACAAAATCCACCATAAGCAGCGCTGCATCCAAACACTAATAAATAGTAAGACACAAAAGGAAAGTGAGGATGTGATGCAGAAGACAAAGCCAGGAAATAAAACTCCTCAGCACCTTTGTAGCCTGCTCTGAACAGATCCCGAGCCCCCCATGCAGAAAGTCGAAGAATTACAGGACCACTGAGTCCCCAGTGTGTAACCAGCATTGGGCCTAGCTGAAACAATCTAAACTTTAGTTATTTATAGAGTCCCAGACAGAATGTCGTCATATAACAGCTAGAAATGCATGCCTGCGTAAGGTGTGGGATATTCTTCTTGTCACTTTCCAGAATTAAGGACGCTTCAACCTTAAGAAATGTGACCTGAGGAGACAAGTGAGAATTGGAACCCCAAAATTAGAACGTTAGATAAGGAAATCCCCAAGATAAATAGTCAATACTTGCAGTGAATTGAACCATAAAAGTAGAGAACAATGAAGCACAATCCACTCAGATTTTATTCAAATCTCCATAATTACTCTATGCTTAAAAAACCCGATTACCAGTAAATAGGGCAAAACATTTTCCCAGGGTGACAAGAAAAAAAAGAACTAAGAAACATATTTAGCTTATTATCTGTTTGGATAATGGAAATGATGTATTTGAAGGCACTGAAACGTCAAACACAACCAAGCACCATACGTCTTTGCTCGCATGGACAACCAATAATTTCTGAAGTTTCAGATATTAATCTTGCATGATTTGTTTATATAAAAAGAAAATCTTGCGTGATTTTGAGATAGCTTTACCCCTGACAACTCTGACAGTAGTGGATCCTTAATCTTGAAAGTAAATAAGCTTGGGACTCCATCTACGATTGAATGACCAAGCTGAACTGCAAGATCATAACCCTTCAAGACAAGTAAACCAATTCAGGAACTTATATTACAAGGACAGTAACATAAGGAAGCCATCAATTCATCCAGCAGTACCTGACGGCTACCGCCACTTGCAATCAGTAAATAGTCAGCTTCTAAATATTCAAGGAACTCAACACTACGTTTTTCAACCTTCAGAATAAACTTTCCTTGGACTCCAGCAGATACACTAGTAACAGTTTTTCCTGTCTGTAGACAAACTGATACAAGCACTAGGATTCAACATGTATCATTTTGAAGGACTCAAAGCATTGAAAATGCAGATAAAAGAATTCTCAAAAGCATAGGCACAGGGAGATATGAACAGCTTAGTTTGGCAGAGGAAACAATTTCCTCGAGAATTTCCCCACAATTAAAGTTAGCTGTAAAAACTGCGACAAAAACCACATGGATATATACATTCTCAGCCAAGAACCAAGATCATCTATCAAAAAACATACCTCCCCTTTCTCTTGCCTCAGACAGAAGACAATCAACTATTGAGGATGAATTGTTGGTGATAGGAAACACTCTGCCATCTTCCTCAATCTGAGAAAGATGAGCACCAATCAATGCCCATTGTAAGGAAGAAATGGAAACCAAATTTACTGAAGGACATAATATACGAACTACCATTCGTAGACACCAATAGTAAAATTAGTTACAATGAAGAATCAAAACCTTCAGTGCCACCCCATGATCTGTAAACCACGACATGGTGTCTCCTGGGCCATGAGTGTTGAAGAAAGACCCTCTTAGCTCTCTATGGCCTCTAGGATAATGTTCGGCCAAAATCTACAAACCAATACCTTCAGTCAGCAAATACTAAAAATACAACCCATGTGAAGTGAATCCACGCACACCGAGCCTTCAAAAGATACTTTAGTAGCTCTTCTAGAATTGCAAATCTGCACTCTGCAGCTTGAAGGATTTCCTAGATATCGAGGTTACAATTTAATTCAGTGATACCGATCTAATCAAACATAGGATTGCATCAATAGAATCAATAATGGAAGATTCTACAACGCAAGTGAAGAAGCAGCAGTTTCATTCAAACGAAAATACGAAATCACTTCACAGTCTTATCCATACCAAACAAACTAGTTCTGAGTAATGATTTTCTTAACCAAATCTGCTAATCATAGGCACAATTCTCCTCACCTTGGTGTCTGGACAATGCCCGTTCGTGACGTTGCATCTTCCTCCTCCAGATATTTTCACCTTCAAGAGCGCAGCCACTCCCCATTTCAACAGACCATGTCCAAGAAATCAAATACGAAAGGGGGGAAAAACGAAGGGAAAAGGAACCTTGGATAGAAGCTTTCCTTTCTCCACAACTAGAACATTAAGATGAGGCGCCAAGGACTTAGCTCTAATGGCTCCATACACTCCAGCTGCTCCGCCACCAACCACCACTAACAGCTCTCCGTCGGACTACGCCGCGTCAAGAGTGCAATCAATACACAACAAGATAAGAAGCTGCAAACAACGGAAACGAAGAAGAACCAGAGAGGATTCCTCCATTTCACCTTTTCGGCTGATTGTGGTGAAGAAGTTGCCAAGCAGGTAAACGCGCGTTTACTGGGAGGAACTGGACGAAGATGACCGAAATTACAACGACGAACGGCGGTCGATGTCGAAGTCGAAGAAGAAAGACTTCCGAATTGGAGGAGGAAGAAGCTTGCTAAACCGGATTTCAAGCTCATGGAAGGGACTGCAAATGCGTACTACTAGTGCTGTGATGTTTAGTTGCAATGCCGGCTTCTTAGCCTGGGTTATCGATTGAAGTTCAGTTCTCTGACGGTCTTCACTCTTTACCAAGGTTGTCAACTCGCGGGTTGACCCGGACCCGATCGAGCTAGTGGGTCAAGGGTTAATAGGTCGACCGTTTTAGCCCGGTTTGGCCCGGAAATATGGAAAGAGTCACTATATTGTACTTATCCTCATAAATTATATCAAATCTTATCTAACATATGAGTTATAACATATAATATTACACCAAAATAACATATCGTACTTAGATCCAATAGATAGTGAAAATTCACACACACTTATATAACATAAATATTCAAATGTTCAACTTAGGATTTCAAAAATTGAGTTAGGCGAAAAGAAAAATCGGAAAATAGGCGCATTTCGCAAATCAAAGAAAAAAATAAAACAATTTGACCTCCAACACGGTACCTTGTAGCGGTCGACCCGGCGGGTGCGTGCGGCCCGTTTTTCTCACCGGGTCAGGGTCAAATTGGGTCGACCCGCGGGTCAACCCGCGGGTTGACAACCTTGCTCTTTACTCTTTAGTCCTGTGCTAAACCCGGCCGACGGCCGTGCCGGGTCGGGTTGAAAATAAAAGAAAGGTACTAACGACGCCGTTCCATGACTAAATAAATAGTAAACAGAACTTCTATTTGACGCCGAAGTAGAAAAAGAGAAGGCGGAAACAAAGAATCCCCCGCCATTCATCAGCTTTGGCGCCGAAATTTAACTCTCGCGAGTTTTTGCGCCATCCGACGAACTGATGCTTACTGTGTGGTTTCTGCGTTCAATCTACGAGCATTCACAATCAGGTCGATGAAAATGGGTTAGTTTTAGCATGTTGCGTATTCGGACTTCAGGTTTTGGGCATCGTTCGTCCAGAGGAACTTTACGAACTGTGCACGACAGGTGTTCGACAAAATTCCTGATGTGCATTTTTCCCAGTGGAACGGGCTTGTGAATGAATGCAGAAACTGAAGGTTGATTGAGAAGGCGTCTTTGAGTTTCAGTGAACATGCTGGTTTGAGGCTTGATCCGGATGGGTGAATTCTGGGTAACTGCAGGTTGATTCATTAGGTCAACAGCAATAGTTTTTTTTCCCCACAAGTAATCAAGAGCAATAGTTGATGGTGGATATAATATAACAGGTTGTTGCACTTGCGGCTTGATGCATACATATGGCCCCGGGGATCTTCAAGTTTAAGACTAAAGCTAATGGTTTTTATCGCGACAGTGATGGTTGGTGGGTTCATGATGTGTAGCTATGTGAGAAAACCAATTAACTGCTGGAGGAATATGCAGAGGGGAGATGGACTTGGTCCTCGTGCAATTATTTCACGTGGAGTTCTGATGGCATGTACTCATACTGGATTGCAACAGGAAGATCACTGAGTATGGAATTGAGCAATAGAATGAGCATATACTACTGGTGTTTTGCTTTATGCCATATGAAGATATCAACTGAAACAGTACAGAGAATCGTCAAAACCCACGATTGCTTCTATCAGAGCAATTGTCAATCTCCACAAGCATGGGAAGTTTGTGGAACTTGCTGCAAAAGCGCTTCTGAAGTAGGCAGATGGAGATAAAGGCATGACTTGGGTTTATATATTGAATATCTACCTGAGTTCTGTGGCAAGCTAAGAATGATCAAGAGAACGCCAGGTTGCAGTATGAAACTGTTGCATTGAAGTACATGGCTTCAATCTATCATTTGGTCAAGCTTGCACTCTTGCATGTTCAATATTTGAAACTAATGTGTTAATGAGATTACAGCCAGATGATACATGACCGATGTGTATTTCTTCCTGTCCACAACTTGGGTTTTAAACAGATCGACAGTACAAGCTGGGTAAGAAAGGAACAAGAGGAACTTGATCAAAACTTAGGTTTCTACCATGTTAGTAACCAGCCATTCTGGAAATATGTGTTTCGTGTTACAAACTCTACAAGGGGAGGATAGACAAGGTATGTATAAAAGGAAGTACTGCTTTAAACTTATTAGCAAGTGAGAAGCTAAGCCATTTACTCTCTACCTTACAAGGAAACAGCAAAAGGGAAGACGTCAGTCTAGGAAGAATGAAGGAGAAAACTACTTTGAATTTCTTAGCTTGGAAGTAACAGTTGCTGAAGTGCTGGAAACCTCTGATATATACTTCTTCATTTGTGATGTTAGCAAAGTTCGCAGACAGCCCGAAGATAGTTGCACATAACATGAAGTTTAATGTCAACAATTGATACAGAAACCTTGTGTGTTTAGGTTAACCATTGGATGAAGACTCCTACTACATGGCTCCATATACACTCTGGTCATCCATCGACCACGAGCTATGGCGCAAGCGTTGTTTTCTCTCAACAGACAGTCCTCAGTCGATGCAAGAGATGGCCAGCCCATTACTACTCTGAAGGCGGTTGCGTAATATTCTTTGCACCTAGCAGATGGTCCAGCCACAACAGAGGAAAGAAGCATGGTCAGAGGATAACCAGGCTGTCACAGACTTGAAACAAGAAATAGAGATGGGGGCATGGGGCCAAAGGTACTATTATTAAACTAACCAACCTTTTCCAGCCGAGGGAACTACAACAACATTCATACTTGCGTTATTTGGTGGCAGATACTGCAAGGTGAGAGGATTGAGCATCCCATTCAAAGGATTTTGAGAACATACGAGGATGTCACTCATTCCTGTCTCTTCCTCCAACCTATCCTTCAGTTCCCCCACCTCAGTTCCCTTGAAAGAAAAGGTACTCCCTTCTTCATCTTTATCAACTTGTCCTTTCTCATTTGCCACTACGTACTTGATCACCCTGCCTTCATTTTTCGCTGGCATCACAAACGTATCATCAGACTGCAACAGAAACAAAAACCAGAAGTACCCATATGAAAATGCACCCTCGGCTGATTAATGATCAGAAACTCATCTGCAAAGTTCAGTTCTTTTTAGGATTAAGACTTCTCCGAATGAAATTTGCGGCATGAAGTTTTACGTTTTAATGACATTTGTGGTATTTAGTGTTTAACTGACTATTAGATTTAACAGAATCCATCAGCTTTTGACGCAAAATTTTAAGCTCACTGATGTAACCATGTAAATTTTTCAAAATTATCCAATTGTTTTTGTCCACTAACTAGGATAAATCTAACTGTCATGCCAAGTTACACGAATGTCATCAAGACATAAAACTTTGATCACAAATGTCATTCATAAATCATAATAAGTCATGTCGCAAATGCCATTTCTCACATAGCAATATTAACATTTTTCTACAAACCTCCATTCTTGACAGGGAAGGTTTGGGTCCAAACGACGGAGGAGGAGGCTGGAGAGAGGCTTCGAAAGACCGGCCACCAGGGCCCTGCGGCGGACGTTGATCTGGACATTTTTGTCTGAGCTCCATCACATCAACATCCCACAGAATCCAATCCTGGGTTGCAGTTCTATGAGGGATGTCGTGGGTGACATGATTCCTCCAAGGAGGGACGCCGCCGTTTGCGCGAAGGTACTGGCCGTGGCGGGTTTTTAGGCGAACTTGAACGCCTTCTCTAATGGGCTCCCACTCGACGGAGGTATCAAGGCGCGGGGGAGTCGTCTGAATCACTTTTTTCCCGGTCATCCCGAGAAGGAACGGCGTGGATGAGGCGGTCAGGTACTTGCTGTAGCAGCTTTGTAACCGGATGGCCTGGTAGCCTTCCACAATCTCCACCGTCCATCTGGCGTTCTTCGACATCCCGTTCCGATCCTGGCTCACGCCTTCCTGATCGTCGTCGGCGAGCAGATACTTGTCGTGGTGGCTTCGGAGCCGGATCACCCTCGCTTTCTCGAATAGCTCCATTTACATGTACGATGATAATGGTTCAAAGATTAATGGTTTCTTTGCTGCAGAATGCGAGATGGGGACAATGGAGGGAAATTTTTGACCGGCGGTTGGAAGAATCGGAGGAATGAAGAAGCAATGGTGAATTTTCATAGGGATAAACTTTCTGTTTTTATTTTGTCTATTTACTGTCTTTTTTACTGCGCTACATTTTAGATTTACCGTGGATATCTTTGGCGTGTTTATGATTAATCTGTTTTCGCACCATATGTGACATTAAGAATGAGGTGGGCTGATATATTACAATTTTGACCCGCAAACAAAAATCTGATAGAGCCCAAAATAGTTGTACGTTGCAGCCCAGACGTCTTTGCAAACAAAACATCACCCACTTGTAGGTTCTAGTTCTGTTGAGTCTTCGTTTTTATCTGTTTCCAAAGGGCGAACAAACAGTTCGTTTCAACTTCCCCGGCGCGGTAGGAAATGAAACCTTCTTGTCAAATCCACCTCGAATTGAACCGCAAAAGGTTTTGCGATCTCCGATAGCTACTGTTTGCGCAGCTCTTACAACATCGCCATCATCCTTTATTTTAGAGATAGTGTTTTTTTTCCTCCTATTTTATGCGCTTTCAGTTGAAATACCTCGTGTTTTGGTCTATTTGTTTCAACAATTTTGCTCTAAACTTGCTTTACTCCCAGTTTTGAAATTTTCTCGACCTTCCTGAATCACATCTTTGCATTCTTCATCCTTTTCCCAATAACTTTCAAAACATAAGTTCCATCCCCTTCGAATATGAGTCATATATAATTTCCAGTGTTATGAAAATCAAATAGGTAGGTGCGACCGATAAAATTGACGATCAATCATGTGAAAACTCTTTGGAATGCAATCTGACAGTTTGATTTAGAATCAGAAACGTAACTAAGTACAGAGATTAGGGCCACTAAATCAGGCTCCCACTATCCTGAAAAGTAGCCAACAAACTACCCACTAACACACTAGCTGCAGAATACCTTGCAGCCTAAGACACGAAAGAAACCCTCCAACTGACTCAATGACTCACAGACTAAAACGACACAGTAATGCTAAAACCAAAACGACACAGCAACACTTAAGTTTATTCAACTCCAACTCGCGCCAAATCTCCAGTCTTCAGTTCATCATCTTCTAACAAATCATTGATCCGGTCTGATTGCTCTATTTAGCCAACAGATGAGAGCCGGTCGGATGTCAATTCAGACAGTTACCTGCTTGTTCAGATTCTTTCCTGCAAGCAACACCTTCTTCCAGCCATCCAACGTTCATGCCTTCAGATGTTGAATCAGATGTCTTCTTTGCTTCATTTGTGGCCTGCACTTGGGTTTCAACTGTGGCCTCCTCTGTTTTCGGTTCAATTATGGCATCTGATGTTGAACCAGATTCCTCGTTTGCTTCAGTTGTGGCCTGCACTAGGGTTTCAGCTGTGGCCTCCTCTGTTTTCGGTTCAACTATGGCATCTGATGTTGAACCAGATTCCTTGTTTGCTTCAGTTGTGGCCTCCTCTGCCTTTGATTCAGCTGATGCAGAATTGGATTCCTTGTCTGCTTCAGCTGTGGCCTCCTCCTCTGCCTTTGATTCAGCTACTGATTCCGATGTTGAATTGGATTCTTGGTCTGCTTCAACGGTAACCTGTACTTGGTCTTCAGCTGTGGTCTCGGCAACTGGTACCGGGATATCTTTGTATTTCAAGCAACAGATTAAATAATAGATGAAGTTCAGCAAACTCAATGCAGCTAATAGCCAGTAATAGCGGTCGTATTTACTTGAGTTGGCATCGTCCCCAACCCAGCTGCTGCTGCTGTCCTCACCGAAGCCAGTAGAAGTGGCAGCGGTACTTGTTGCTACCCGAGTAAACCTCTTCACCGCTGCAAATAGTGCAGCACCCGCCAGGCTCCCAAGACACTGCCCCATAGATGAGACCAGGTCTCCGGTGCAGCCAGATGGGAATCGAGCGTTGAGAAAGTCCAACAAACCCAACCCGAACAATGCCTCAGTTAGCCCCGCCAGACAGAGTTGCGGAATCAACAGATTGGCCGACATATTTTCAGTTCCATACACCCGACGACGGTGCTCCACCCACCCAGCAATAAAATTCCCAAGGCAACATGTTAGAATCCCCATTCCCATACGGTACCGAGATGGAATACCGTTGGGGATACGGTTGGAAGATAACTTGGCTATGCAGGGCACCAGCAGATGGTTGTACCCCGTTACCCAGATTGCCATCGATGCAACACTAACTGCACCATATGCTAGAACTGGGATTGTGAGACCTCCCAGCAACCGAGTATCCATCAAGTTGGCTTGTGCGGTAGGAAAGGGCCCTGCTGTGTTGGCCACCGTAACGATGATCATAGTCGAGCAGATGGGGATCGTGTTGACCAGAGCTTTCAGCTCTTCCACCTCTTGAACACTGCAGAGGTTCCATTCTTCTCTGGGCAACCCGGTAGAAGAATTGACTTCCTCTTGATCGACAATCAAGCAGGCCTTGTTTAGAAAGCTGCTCAAACGAACAATAGCGAGTTAGTTTGCAAAAGAAGTAATTGATACGTAAATCATGAAATTGGAACGAGAAAGGAGGCGAAGCTTGGAGTAGTGGAGATGGAGACGCGAGGAAGGCTTTTTCCTTTGTTGGATGAAGTGAATGGTATTAATGGGAACAGTCCGAGAACAAGGAGAGAAACAACGGGGGAACGAAAAGAAACGTTTTCTTTTGTTGTTGATGGTCTGAACTCTGGAACCCCTAATGGCCAATTATTTGTGGGAACCATATTTGTCTTGTAAACTAACTCATTGATTTAATTATTTTCAAATCATTAATTAATAGTATCGATAAATTAGAACATGAGTGAGAGGAAGAAAACATAAAAATGCAACAATATCATTAAACCGACCTTAAGCGTTGGCTGGGGCAAACGGTGAGTATTGGTCTCCGTCTGGGTTTATTGTGATGGAACCAACGGTTGGAAGGGATTGAAATGGAATGACGTCTCTTCTTCCAGGCCACGTAGATGATCCGTGCAACAACTTTTACCAAACTGTGGTCGTCAGTCACATGAACATAACTCCCCGAAACAAAGATCATAGCGGATACAACCATAAGTATGGTGAGAATGAGGTACCGAGCGCCCCAGTTAATGATTTGGCCCATCAGAAAAACCAGAATCATAACTGCAGCCCCGACTGCAGTTTGGTACCACCCATTGAGCTTCTCAAGTGTCCTTTGGCTGCTAACCGGATCATCATCTTCTTTCTTCAGTTGATCGACTGCAAAAGCCGATGAACAGGACCGGACCCCTCCACTGCCGATGCAGAACAATGAGATCGAGACAGATAAAACTATCAGCTGCCATGTCATCGGCCCCGTGTCGCATTCTCCCGGCGGCAGATCCAAGTATAGATTGCAAGGTCGTAGCTGCAGGCCTCGCGTAGTCGTCAACGTAATCACCACAATCCCCTGACCATATATAAGGAAAAGCAGAAACAAAGACAATCATAAGAAAACATACACACAATCACAGCATGTGAATGTGATGTGAGTTACTATACTAAGTTCCATTGGTGTGGTGTGACCAACGAACGAACTCACCAAGATAGCAGCCAAGCTGCTGGTTGCGATCACACGGAATCGTCCGATGCAATCCGAGGCGAGTGCCCCTATGATCGGGGTAAAACTGGAGGCTGCGTTCCAGAAGAAGAGGATAGTGGCTGTTTGGTCGAACTTGATCAAGAATTGTTGCATCAGGAAAAGAGGCATGCCGGCTAGAATAACAGAGCTTGAAGCCTTCTCAGCCATCTCATTGACTGCACAAACAAGCCAAAGTGTTTGGATACGGCTGGGCTTTTCTTTTCCATTTGGCACAAGCCTGCTACTTTGTTGTCAATTTGGGCCTAAAAGCCCAGTACATCATGAACTTCTAGAAATGAAGGTACGAAAGATACACCGACTCCAGCTAATACTTTGATGGGCCAAGGCCCAGTTGTTGGATATGCATGAGTAGTTACAGTCAAAATATTGTTACTCACCGAAAAAACTTGAAAATATTCTTAATAAATGGTTGTTTCCATTTTGTTAGTTTCAGTTTGATTAATTATTTTTGGTATTTAGTATCACTAATAAGTTTTCTTATTGATAAAATTAGAGCAACAATAAACTAAATCCAGTAAGGTAATTCAAAAAAAAAAAAAAAAAAAACTCACTCTTCAATGTCTTCATCCTACCAACAAAATATTCTCTTCAAGATAACTCACTATAAAACGAAGAACCAGATGATAAATTAAATAAAAACTTGTTAAAAAAAGTGTGATGAAAGAACTGAATTTTTATGCAGCCCTACATACAAGAATACTTGAACAAAGAATGATTTTCTGGGTACGTACTAGTAGTATGCAAATTCCCAATCAATTAAACAGACAAACGTACCAGTGATACGCACGGTTCTGCAGACACCTTTTCTCCGCGTGGCTGCCTGATCACTAGCTGGCGGTGTTGGAATGGCCGCCGTCATTTCCACGATCACATCCCCGCTGCGGCCGTCGTCCGCCATAGCACTTCCCCGGAAAGTAGCTAGCTAGCTAGCTATAAACGCACGTTCCACAAAATCTGTTTGCCGAGCTGGATCCCTGGCAAATGGCTGGAAACGGAGAGAGGGAAGAAAGGAGGATAGCTAGATCAGTGCTTCTTCTTTTTCTTCTTCTCCGATGAGCGGTAAAGGGGCGCGAAGACGGCGGCACTCTTCAAGCAACGCATTAGGTGATCAGGTGCAGCACAACATTACCGATCAACAGAGCTAACCATGCATTGTGCTTTTGGAGTTGTAGGTAGTGACCGTTTGATTATTAGTTACTGGGGAGAGGCCATCCAGAGAAAGCAGAAGACAGGACAGGCAGATCTAGCTAGAGCGAGAACCAGCTAGCTATCTAGCTAGCTTTGGAAACGAACGTAGGCGCTTGTGCCTTTAGCTTGCTTAGCTAGGCAATGGTGTTTGGTTTTCCGTTTTTGCCCTACAGGGTAAAGAGTGTCGAGCCAGCTGATGAAATGCGTTGCTTGCACTAATACGAACATGGTGAAAGGAAAGCGAAATATGCATGGGCGTCGTATGGGGAATTGTATGAAGTTGACGTCGTGTACCGTGGGAATAGATGTTGGGAGAATTAATCAACTTATTCTATTCTTTGGGGGGAAATATTTTTAATCAACTTATTGTACTATATCTTTTTTTCATTTTTATAATGAGCTTATTGTACTATATCATAAGACAACTTATTCTACCATTATTCAGTATTATTTTTTTAAGAATAAATTCATGCAGTACTACTACCTCTTTTTTTTTTTTTTTTTTTTTTTGACAGTCACTACTACCTCATTGATGAACCTTAATTTCAAAGTTATGATTAAAGGGGAAAATCAAAACAATTTTAAAATCATGTAAAGTGTAAATTTATATTAAGATTTTTTTTATCAGTAGAGTACTAGCTAGTTTTTATCATAGATGTTCTTTAATTAGCTAGATAGATGTGGAAGGATGTTTACAAGTGAGCTTTCTATGCATTACGTATGAGATATTTAGTGTTTCATTGTTAATGACTTAATGGGTCATCTATTTTTTTTTTTACTAATGACAATAATTAATATAAAATAATTTATTTTGCTAACCTCCACAGACTACTAGTATAAGATGACTAGGTGTGAAAGTTTAATTAGTTAACTATTTTTAATCAATTTAAAATTATTTTGTATGAAGGGCTGAATAGTTGTTCGTATATTATATAGTTGGATTGAGCTAACTAGGGTTTCTTTGTCAAAAAAAAAAAAAGAAGCTAACTAGGGTTTTCTTAAATCTTCTTCCATATATTATATACTTTTTCGTATTTATTAGGATGGACTGGTCCCGAATCTCATGACAAGTAGCGACTTAGCTTGTCTCGTTTACACTTTGCACCTGTCGAGTTCTAGGAAAGGTAACTTTTGGGCTCTTCTATCCCATGCCACACGACCTCATCATTCCAATTGTAAACAAATCAAAATTAGTGTACCATTATTCTTTAGAGAAAACTGTATTCATTTATTTAATTAGAAACACAAGAGGTTTCAGGATAATCCTCTATAAGGAGATGTACAAGAAAGAAAAGTGGTCTATTAAATCCATACCTCTTCACTATCCCGGCTGCAGTCTACATTGGAATGGGCCTATTTGTTTTTGTTTCCGCCCACAAAACTCCACACCACTCGATCAAACAACTGGGCTTTGGCATTGATCACCACTCCCCATCATGTTCCCCGCTTCTATATTCATGCAGCATTGACATTGATCTTCACTGGAACCAGTCCCGGTGGCTGCCACCGCTATTCTTTAGTTCACTCAGGCCATTAGGGCTTCAATTGCTTTTCCAGGTAATCATCTAACTAAGTCCATGCTTTGTGCAATATTTCCCATTCCTCTAATTTCTTCTTGTTCCAGATATGGCAATTGCGTTGATACCAAATATACCAGAGTGCAACCACGAAAGACCCGAGCATCTCTTCATATTCTGTCTCTTGGAGCTCGCAGAACCACTCCGCCGAGGTAAGATTCTCCCCTTTGTCAATGTATGAACTCATTTGACAAAAACGCCAAACCCTCTGAACCTATCCACAATCTCGAAATATATGTTCCTACGCCTCCTTTAGATCACATAAAGGGCAAACTTCACTACCCTGCTTTGTCCGTTCTAGGATTCGAGCTCCTGTAGGGATAATGTGGTGCAACCATCTCAAGGCAAAAAAATTCACTTTTGGAGGGATTCTTATATTCCAAAGTTTCTTCCACTCTACTGGTGAATAGAACTCACCCTCACCCTCCTCTTCCACGTTTCTGTCTTCCCAAAGTCTGTAGGCTGATTTCAAAGTGTAATCACCCGATCATTTCAATTTCACAAAGTCGTTGGTTGGAGTGTCGAAGGAGGATTTGCATGGAACAAATTTCAAGATAATCAATCAAAGGATAAAACTAATCAAGTCAAAGCAATCTGAGAGGAGAGTTGGGCTCAATTAAACAATCATGTCTTTAGTAGTAAATGATGTTACAATGTACAGTTGAATGAGCCTAACAAATATCGAGGCACATTAGCGCTTTCCTTTTAGGGCGGTAATAGCCTAATAGGTTGAATTGGGTCATGTTGTTCCAAATTCCAATCAAAGACAACAGATGTATTCGACAAAAAAACTCGGTAAAATACATTTTATACTTTGAAACTGAAAACCCAAATGATTTATATTATCAGGGTTAGATGCAAAATATTGTTGTTTTTATTTTTATTTTGGATTAGAGTTGAGTTTTGGTCAAATTTGCACCCAACCCAACATGTCAATTTCAAAAGCGAATTTTACCCACGATTGACACAGAATTGGTCAACAACGAATTTCGCTAACTTTGATTGGTTTGGACTAAATTGAGTCGCGCAATTACGAATGATTAAATTTGGAGTTTCCCAAGTTTCAAATTCGGATGGTTTCCCTTTAACATTTTGGACCAAATGACATTTTTTTCAACATTCAAATAAGTAAGCATTTGCAGTATTGAATCAACAGTATCATTTATAGCTGAAAAGTATAACTGCACCCCGATTCAAATTTTCCTGCTCGTAGAGTAATTTTAGGAGGCTGACGTGGCAGGGTGTTTAGGCGGCATTAATTTAGAAAATCCCGCCTGATGCGAGGGATAAAGAACCGCCCACTATTTTTTTTCCCCTGAAAATCTCCTTCCTCTTTAGTCTTTCCTGTTGTCATCGCAGCAAAGCTCCTGCTGCACACAACCGCTCATTTTCTCACCAGATGAAAAGCTCCCCCAGTCGCCCTTTCTTTTCTGGTCGAAGCCGCATCACGACGCTGCGATGGCTAACCTTCGTCTGCCGTACAGAATAGCTGGAAATCTCCGCTGCTCCGCCGTCAACCGCAGAGAAAAGGTGGAAATCTTCGCCGCTCCTTAGATGCGTCTCTATTTTTCGCGAGTTCTTCGAGTTCTTATGGGACAGGATCCTCTCCTGTTCGATTGGTAAGCCGCCCTCCAAGTACCGCCGCTTGAGTCGCCCCGGATCTTCAACTTCGCCCTCTACTTCTTCCTCCTCCTCTTCTTGCGGAGGGCGCAACGACGATTACGGCGATGTTCCTTTGGTCGAGGCGTGGACGACTAGTGGAAGCGGCGAGTTGAACTCTTCCAACTCGGATATGGAGCCATCTGAATAGATGTCTTCAGATTTCTCATCCACCGCAAAAGCAAAGAACGCCTCAATTAAGTTTGTGCTTTAATGGTGATGATGCTAATGAGGTCGGTTGTCCTGAAATTGGAGTTTAGCAGTATCAGCCTGTTGTTTGATTTTGGGGTTCCTTGATCTCAGTTTTTCTTGGCAGTTTGGTACCATGGTTTAAATCTCTGTGTTTCCAACTTTGAATTTGAATGGTTAAACAACAAATAATGAATTGAGTTTCTTGCCTCTATGTTCTTTCCTCAAGGTTATTTGAGCATTATTTGGTCAGTTTAGAATCATCAGGAACGTGTTTGATTGGTGGTCAAACTTGGTTGTGATGAGACAAAACCATTAGGCAAAAGCAATTACTTCCGGAGTAGCATATAACTATGCGTTAACAAAATTCTCTGGTTCTGTCTGCAGATGGATTTTTTTTTAGATAATGGTATGTAGATGGAAACATGTAGTGCTGGAATCTTCTGATTGTTTATGTTGCCTTAACAAGTCACCATCTAATCAACATCCTCTATTTTTATTATGTAAGAGCATCTCCCTGATAAATATTGTGCATGTTCTTATCTTTCTCCAGGGGGCAAGCTTTGGATCCCTATCTGATATGGGATGATTTGGCAAGTTTGCAAAGGTAAATTCCTGAACTCACTTTTGATTTGTTAATTTTGCAGAGGTTTTCTGATTGTTTATTGCTCTTATTGTATATTGTTAAGTCTTGTGAACTGGTGCAAATTTTTGTTGTGGCTGTGTATCACGTTTAGTTACATCGAGCACATTTGGACCTGTTCTTTTGCGTAATTGTCTCTTAGCTTCTGTGGTGGTATGGAGACCTCAGGGACGTGGCTCTAACTTCTCTTCTTATCTGACTCTCAACCTTACAGTTTTGGGGTCATTTTTGCTTCTTAATTGGAGTCAATAAAAGTTACCAGTAGCTACAGTCACAATTGAGTGGCGGCCGACGGGAATTTAGCAACGAACTTGCAACGCAACTTGAAGAGAAGAGGTAATGCAATTGTATAGATTGTTGGGCAACTAAGAAATAGTTAATGTTAAAGGATAAGCAAAGCAGATTCGCAGTATGGAATTCGGAGTCCCTGCAATCTATGATGCATATCTTCCATTAATCACTGATTTATATGTGACGATTCATTTATATTTAGATGCTACTCCTAAACACACAGCTGTGTTCATAATTTGGGAAGTCGGTGTATTTTAAGAGAAAACATTTTTCATTTGTTGGGTGAAACGTTGGACCTGAAGGACAAAGGAGCAAAAAAGATGTTGTTCAATGCAGAAGGACGAAATCCAA